TGCACTACAAGTAAATGCATTGCCTGTGCATGCACAGATCTTTTTTTTTTCAGGGGCAATTTAATCCCCCAATATATATTTTTTTAAAAAAACGTTTTGTATTTTCCTGCAAACCTAGGAGGTCACCCAACTTTGCAGAAAAGCCTGTTTAAGATGAGTTTGTCCCCTATCTGCAGATTTAGATATCCACACATAGGGGGCACAGTTGGGAATTAGATACATGATCGATTTAGACAGGCAGAAGAATAAGAGGAAAGGATATCAAGATGCTAGGAGGGATGGTGCTGCTTCAGACTGCAAGTGATAGATTCCAGTTCTGGATTCACTAAACAATAGCAGGAAGAGTCCCCCACCCAGCTTGCTGTTCTGGGTTTCTGTTTGCAGAGAGCTTGTAACATAAGGGAGTATTCCAAAATGTGAACCTCCATGATCCTCTACTTACACTCTGGAGTGGTACAGTCCATTTTAGCACCTCATTCTCTCACATGTGTAAATCAGGCCTTATAGTGCGTGAATAAGGCCATTACCATATTTACTCAAAAGGAAGATGGCCCTGAATGTAAGATGCCCCCCTCAAAAATTTTAAACATGCAAAAATATTATTATTGGACCTAACTGTAACCTGCATGCAAATGTAAGACAGCTCCCCCTCTCTTTTTTTACTGGCATACCTGTGGGGGGGGGACTAGTTGTGTGTTTGAGTAAATATTGTATTGCTTCTACTACACTTCTGTCAGGGTGTATCCCAAATCATCTATTATCATGCAAGTGCAGTGTGGTTCTCAGTTAGGGTTGCCAAATCGACTTACCTTGCCGGCGGGGGACTCTGGGGTGGCTCCCGGAGTGTGTGTGCGCGCACGCTGGGGGCGGGGCCACAGCCATTTGAGGGGAAAACATAGAGTTTTCCCCTCAAATGGCTGTGGCCCCGCCCCCAGCTTGCCCGGTGTCATGACGTCACTTGCCTGTGACGTGCACGCGGGGGTGGGGTTTTCCCCAGGGCCCAATTCCGCGGGGGCGGAAATCGGGCCTCCAAAGCGGGGGGAAATCCGCCCCCTGGGGGGAATTGGCAGCCCTATTCTCAGTGGGGTCAGCAGCCCAGCAGTTATCAAGTGTTGATCAACCAAATGTGAAGAATCTGGCAGGTGTACGTGCCCGTGTGAACTAATTCCATGTATGGAGTGAAACTGCCATGACTGTTGGAGATGTCTAACTGTTTTAAAGCTGGCCTCGATAAGGATTGGTCTATGTGGGAAGATGGAGTAATTCTTTTTTTAAAAAAAAAGCTGTTTAAAACCTCTAAGCCAACAAATACCTTCTGATATGTTTCCCCCAGACGAGTATGGTCATTCTAAATATATTTTTTCAGGTTGGAAGAAGAAATTGGGAAGCTAGAAAGTGAGGAATCACAAATATCTGCCAAAGAGCGAATCATCTTAGAGAAAATAAAGGAGACAGAGAAATCCTTTGAGGACTTGCAAAAGGTACAAAACTTATACTTTTTTAAAAAAACGGATGAAAAATCAAAGTAGGAGATTTTTAGGCTCTGTGTATTACATGACCTCAAGAGGTTTGAGATTAAAGACAATAATTATTCAGCAGTCAAAGAGAATTAGGCCATATTATTTTAAAATATTAACAGTCTTAAATACTATTAAATGTTATTAAAGTTCATGTTAAATATTTAAAAAAGGTTTAGCTTGCTTGAAATTAAAGTTGTGATAATGACGATTTTACAAACCCAGACCCTCTGAAAGATTAATCCTCCTCTTATTATTTATGTATAACCACTATGCAGTGCAGATGGTGATTTATGTACAGTCTCATAGGTGGAGAACCTCCTATTGGAACCACATATTTATACAGTACTGCTTTGCCGGTTTATAGGTTTAAAATTATTGAGAAGCAGCTCCATAATTTAGTAAGTGGCCCTATTTAATCTTTAGCTCTATTGGTAGACTGAAAATTTGTAGAAAAAAGAAAGTCAATCGGGGCTGCGGTCACTCACACTAAATAACCCACTTTCAGTGCACTTGCCAACTGGATTTTACTGTGTGAACTGGCAGAATCCAGTTGGAAAGTGCATTGAAAATTGATTATTTAGTGTGTGTGACCGCAGCCTGGAAGAGTTTGATGGAAAGTCATCCTTCTTTTATTTTGTAGAATGGTATGATCTAGCAATGAAAGATCTCACAGATCTATCACATTTTTCACAGTCTTCCTCCAAAGGGCAGTAGAGCGGCCATCCTCCAGGCGCATAGAGTTCTCCCAGAATCACAAGTGATTTCCAGATGACTAAGATCAGTTCCCCTAGAGGAAATGGCTACTTTGGAGGGTGGACTCTGTGGCATTATATCCCACTGAGGTCTCCCCTCTCCCCAAACCCTGCCCTCCCTAGGATCTACCCCCAAATCTCCAGGAATTTCCCAAGCTGAGGTTGGCAACCCTGCATGGCATGGCAGTATTAATGGTTCCCCATTACTCCATTTTATTCTCACAACAGTCTGTGAAATAGGTTAGGCTGAATGCATTTGGCTGGCTCATGGTGAGAAATGTTCATGGCTCAGTGGGGGATTTGAAGCTACAGATCTCCCCAACTCTATTTGGGCCAGTACAGCCCACTGGCTCATAATCATGTCTGCAACCAATATGGTTGACTTCTCCAGGTTATTGCTTCTCTATTTATTTAACAGTGATAACGCAAATAACTATCTAGCAAAACAGCAGTTAGCAAGATTTTTTAAAAGCAGCTTTAATTGACAACTATAAAACCAAGAAATAACACTAATTATTTATTTATTTTATTTCTGTGAAAATAAGAACCTTCTTCAGCTGGTGAGCAGAATTCGAAAGGGAAGATGCTGTCTGTCTTTTATTGTGCCATCCTTCAACCGACTTAGAAGGGTACAGCTCTGTTTAGGATGCCACTCACCTAGGGGTCATTTCATAGAAAAAGAGCTCGGGGAACTGACTAGCATAAGTCATTAGCATATGCCACACCCCCTGACATCAGGGGCCCGGCGGCGGAACTGCAACGCTGGCGGGAGTGCGAGGAAGCCCCGCCAAGGCCCTCCTTGGCCCCAGGCAGGCAGGGGTGGGGAGAGGCGGGGAGGAAGCAACTTACCCTCCCTCTTCTCCTGCCTCCTCCTGGCTGAATGAGGGCTGGAAGCGGGGCAGCCGGAAGCAGGGGGCGGGGCTTCATCATGTGCCCTGCCCCCTGCACCTCACCCAGGGGAACTGCGATCCCCCGCGTTCCCCCCCCCGAAATGACCTCTGCACTCACCCCGTCTGTTAAACAGAGGAGAGCCTCTGGCAGAGATATCAACAGTTAGGCAGGTTCATTAGAAGGAGAAACTTTTGAAGTGATTAATGGGTGTTTTCTTTGTTTTTTAAGTTTGTATTTGCTCTTGTGTCAGAAGGCCCTATTCAAGAGAGAGGGAAACTGAGAACCTATCAATACTTTACACTTAAAGGGGCTGATCAGTTCTTCTTTCTTTCTAGCGAATCTCAATTATCATGATACTGAGAGGGTAGCCTGGAATTTCTAAGAAAGAATACCGATACCCTCAATGGGATACAATTTCCAGGCTTTTTGGAGAGATCCAGAACAATTGGAGTAGCATCAAAAACCACTAGAAGTTTATAATTTTCATCTGTCCAGAATGTGTGTTTTCACAACATAGGCGTCCCGTTCCCCCTGTGGTGGACACCCTGCCCTTGACTCCTGTTGCCCACCCTCATGCTGAATTTTTTAAATTAAAAAAACCCTTCAGTGTCATGTGTGACACCATGTCACTTACAGTGAAAAACAAAAGTGACTAGAAAAGCTCTAGGAATCACCAGAGACTCTGTGGTTTTTGTGGTGTATTCAAGTTAATGAAAAACTGTGTTTGTACTCAATCATTGAAACACCATGTAAAGCTTCATCCTGGGCAAGGATCCTAATCTTGCAATCCCTATTGGTAGCCCAGGAAGAGCCGACCAATCACCTACCATCCAGTTCCCTGAGCGGGAACGTCTGTGATTGGACCTTATCTTGACAATCCTATTGGTTGTAATGTACAGTAGGGCATGGCTACATTAGCTGGGGGAGTTTAAAAGAAGCACAGCTACAATGCAAAAGCTGTTCTGGTTGTTCCGTTCTAGTTGTGTTACGCGTTCCCTGAGCGGGAACGTCTGTGATTGGACCTTATCTTGACAATCCTATTGGTTGTAATGTACAGTAGGGCATGGCTACATTAGCTGGGGGAGTTTAAAAGAAGCACAGCTACAATGCAAAAGCTGTTCTGGTTGTTCCGTTCTACTTGTGTTACGCGTTGCTCAATAAAGCTGAATCACTTGCTGAAATCTGACTCTGACTCTTTGTTAAGTAGTCGACTTAACAGTTTTACCATAGAGTTTCTGGTGATTCTTAGAGCTACCTATGTCACCTACTTTTTTTTTTAACCAGAAGTGACACTGCATGCAGCCAGCATCACAGCTCTCCTGTATCCCCACCCTGCCAGTTGCCTAGCAACCATATCACACCATAAAAATTTAACCTACACAATTAATTTCAGCTAAAAGTGGTGATGACCCTTAGTTAATGAACTGATGCTAGTGTAATGGTTCAGTATGTGAGTTATATGTCAGGAGGTCACCAGTTCAGATCTTTCCTTAGCCATAAGTTGATCAGTGGCCTTGGGCCAGTCATCATCTTTCAGCCTTCATGTGTCCCTTCACTTCCTGTCTGTTGTACCAATATGATCAATGCCATGGAAATTCTCTGAGTAACCTTGGACCAGTCTGTCTCTCTCAGCCTGCCCTATACTATAGGGCTGTTTTTGTGAGAATAAAATGGAGGAGGGGGAAATGATTTTGTCAGCCATTTTGGGTCCCCACTGGGGAGGAAAACAGAATAAACATTTAAAGAAATAATATGAGGGGCACTTTGAACAATCAAAACACTAAATATAAATGCTAAGAGTTATTATCCTGGATGTGTCTCACTATTGTCTATGACAGCAACATAAAAATTCTGTGCCGCAAATCAAAATAAGGCCGAGTACTCAATGCTGGGAACAGAAGGAAACTGTCATCTTGACAATCCAATTTGTCAGCTTCCCAGGGGTGTTTGGTTGGCATATTGGAAACAAGAATGCTGGAACTGAAGAAGAACGGTCTCTGTTTTATTGTAAGGTTCAAAGGGACATAGAACTGTACAACAGAAATCCCGGCCATGAGAGGAAGTGGTACAACCCTGTTTTATTTAGCCACACACAAAAAAATACATTAATGGCTCCATGCCCACTAGAATATCATTGTCAACACACGATGATCTCAATGGGTGGGCCTCTGCCACACAGACACCCTCCAGTGTGTGGATAGCCAGTCTTCCATTCATTAGATGGAAGCTGGCCCACTTTCAGACCAGATCCAGAAAGACATGTTGCTTGTTTTGCATTTGTAATTCAGCAGAAGCCCTAACTTGCGACGATCCTTGTTTTTATGCTGTCATTTTGTCCCTGGTTTTGTCCCACCATCTCTGTCTCTTGTCACTCCTGTGTCCCCAACAGAGGCATTTCAATTATCTTCCAGTTCTTTCTTGTCTGAGAGGGAAGATACTGCAGTCTCAGAATCTGGGGGGGGGGGGGGGGGGTTGTTTTATCCTAATGTGATGTCATTTACCCGGTGATGTTATTGACATCCATGCTGGGAAAAGCTTTAGCTGCCTGGTTCCAAACATTAAACCTCTATTAAAGAGGCAGGATAGTTTTCTCCAAGCCTACTGGCAGCTGTAATATCCATCTTCTGTTGATTACCAGGCACCCAATCCATGAAGATAACAGCAAATAAATAACAGAGGCACCATTCATCACTTGTGGTTCCCTGGATTCTTCCAATTGCTAGAGGAGCCAAGAGGGGGAAGGTCATTCCACCAATGCCTGTTATAATAATGTTAACTCATAGGGTTACCTGGTCCCTCCTGGCAACCAGTAGGGAATGGGGGGGAGGGAGACCCAGCCAACATTGCAGTGATGTGTCTTATGTCACTTCCAACATGACCTGGAAGTGACATCATCACATTGGCAATGTCAGGGCAACGCTCTGTTATTTGGGCAAACACTCTGTGGTAAATTTGTCTTCTCCCATAGAGTTTTTGCCCAAACACCAAAGTGTCACCCTGACATCGCCAACATGATGACGTTGCTTCCGAGTCACATTGGAAGTAATGTTGACATGTCACTGCAACATTGACTGGGCCTCCTCTTTTTCCAGGTAAGCCCCCCCCACCAACCAGCTGATCAGTGGCAGGGTAGTGGGGTCTGCTGGTGGGGTCCCCTGCCTCCACCTGATTGGTCTGGCAACCCTATTAACTCATAGTAGTTGCGTTCTTCTACATCTAACTTGTCTAAATCTGATTCTGTAGCCCTAGTCCTATTGCATTGTTTCTTAGATGTCCCAGATGTCTGATTGCATTTTTTTTACCAAAATAATTTGAGATCTGCCTTGAGTCTCAGTGAGAAAGGTGGGCTGTGAATAAAGAAAATATGTGCCATTCGTACGATGTGAAGAAAACAACTGTTTCCATATTTTTGTCTTTTCAGAGCTTCTCACATCAGGATGGTGGTAAGTATTTCCTTTTTTCGTACTACCAGTGTGTACCTACCATTCTGTGCACAGAATGCAGAGTTGGATTCCCAGGGTTGCAGGACCCACACATGTGAAGAAAACAACTGTTTCCATATTTTTGTCTTTTCAGAGCTTCTCACATCAGGATGGTGGTAAGTCTTTCCTTTTTTCCTACTACCAGTGTGTACCTACCATTCTGTGCACAGAAACTGGAGTGAGGACTGGCCTGAGGCCGAGCTGCTCCTACTTCCTCTTGTGCAAGTGCAGCAGAGCTGAGGGAGGGAGTCAGTGGTCCTCCCCTTGTCCCTTCACACTCCTGCTCTCCAACTGCATGGCTGTTTCTTCGCACAGGTACTGCAACCCCAGGAATTATGTTTCCAGGGTGTCAGAAGGGGCTGCAGGAACAGAGAGGAATGTGGGAAAAGTCTATACACCTTATGTACACCCAGGGCTTTTTTTGTAGAAAAAGCCCAGCAGGAACTCATTAGCATATTAGGCCACACCCATGATAGCACAGCTTATTAGCATATTAGGCCACACACCCCTTGTTACCAGAAGTGTGGTCATCCAGTCACACCCACCTTTTGCTTCTTCTGTTTACCTTGTTTATGGTGTGGCCCCTTATGCTAATGAGTTCCTGCTGGGTGTGGCCAACTTGGGAGCCAGCCGGAACTCCGTTCCTGTGCGTTCCTGCCCAAAAATAGCCCTGTCAAGATATATTTTTGAATCCACGTGTAAGGTATTTAAAGCCAGGCGGGAGCCAGACATTTCACTGGAAGGAAATGTGGAAGTAAATCTTACTAATGTTAATAACGTTAATCTTAAAAGCACTCCATCATTCCTTTCAGTGGGTCTCTGGTCGGATCGTTAAGAATCATGATTACTTTCAGAGTTTGTGGAAACAATAATGAGAGGAAGCAAGGGGAAAGTGCCGTGCAACAGAAAGGCCCTCGATTATTAGTTGTTTCCTGTTGTGAGTGCTTCTGGTTCTTTCTGCCCCTTCCCTTAGGAGGGAGGAGCAAACAATCTGAACTATGGTGTCAACTGCCAGCCAACAGCCACCACCAATATGTTCCCAATATGTTAAACTTTTGTGTTGGTTTTTAGTTGTTGCCAAAGAGTGGGTTAGAAATATGAATAATAATAGTAGCACTGTTTTGGGGGGGGGAAACACAGAAGATCTGGTACCTGTTCTGATCCTCCACAGGCAGCCAGCTGGGTGACCTTGGGTCAGTCACAAAGTTCTTTTAGAGCTGTTCTCTCAAGAGCAGTTCTCTCAGAGCTCTCTCAGCCCCACCTACCTCACAGGGTGTCTGTTGTGGGGAGAAGAAGGGTAGGAAATTGTAAGCCACTCTGAGACTCCGAGTGAAGGACAGGGTAGAAATCCAACTTTTCTTCTTCTTCCTTACAGTTGATCTGATCTAGCAGTGATTAATACAGTGATCCTTACTCATAAATATGCAAGGTGAAATGACTGGCATTCTCACCAGAGCCCTTACAAACCCATCCCTCTGAAAATGCTGTATTAGGAAGTAACCCTACATGTGTTATGCTTTAGTTGTTTGTCCCAAGCAGACGCCACAGGGTCTACTTATTGAATTTGTGTCACTCATATGAAACCTCTCGTATTAACATCGTTTTATGTTTCCAGAGAGATTTGAGAAATCAGTGAAAGCTGTCAGATGAGGTCTTAGATTCAGTGGAGCGTTTCTGTGGATGGAATGATTTCAAGCCTTCCCCGTCCGTTGCAGCCTAAAATGCATTTTGGGCTGCAGTGAGAAGGGGAAGACAAGAAAGTCGCATCCCCACACGGAAGTCCTTCAGTCTGCAGAAATGCTCTGGTGAATTCAACCCAGTGCTCTGTGGTGTGCAACAAAGTGATGTCCAAATAATTTTGTTGAGCTTTCATGGTGGAACAAGGGAACAACACTCCTAAGGCATCATAGATCTTTGAATTTGCACAGTGAATCAGGAAATAATGATAACGAGGATTCCCCAGGTCTGGTTCCATTTCAGATTCCTAACCTTTCCTCCACAGAATTAATTTGGTCTCTTCATGAGTTTGTGCTCTTTGATGGATGGAGCAATAGGGTGGGCTTGTTTATAGCCCAAGTCAGAAAGACTTGCAGAAACAGAGCTGAGAGAGGTGCGTTACTCAAGCAAAGACTTCAAACAGCTTGCTTCATTTGTTTGTTTTCATAATTACCCCATTATTGGTGAAGATTTGTTCCCTGACTGCCCTCCTTAGAATAAGATTAAAGTCGTCATATGCCAATATTCCCTTGAAAATCAATTTAATCTGCTCATGCTATCACCCCAGTCATAAACATTTTCACCAGATGGTTTGTCCACTCTGCCCGTGTAACATCACTATGACATTATCATCATAACTTCCAGGTTTTTATTAGTGCTGCAATCTCTAATTGGTTTAGTCAACAGATTAATCAGATGAAGCTGTCCTCTGAGCTTGTTGCAGGAAACTCCATCCATTTAAATGTCTACATAAAGCAATGTAGCACATTTTATCCCATCCTTCTTTCAACTTGCGTGGGGCCCATGCACAATTCTCATTTCCCCAATCGTATGCAGCTCGCAGTTGCCAGCAGTGTGCATGCGTTTGCCCTTCTTAACTAAGTAAATTCCGTATCAGACTTTGCCTCTGGCTTCTAGAATATGTTGAGAGAAATTTCCTTGCTCATTGTGTTAAGGCACTCATCGGTAAAATAAATATACTCAGTCTGGTCTCTTTCCTGTGCTCCAAGAATTACAGTCTGTGAAGCCATGGTAATGGTCCATAGATTCGCAGAGTGCAGTGAGGTGTGTTCTGAAACGCCACAGAAGCTCTGGCGTACACTCCAGCAAGGGTTGAAATAGCAACAGCAATATATCTGGGGAGATTGTACAGGGAACACTATGACTTGAGTCTATAAAAAAATTTATAAAGTCACCTGTCTTTCTCCCAGAAAACGTGGGTCCAATAAACAATAAAACCAATACATCATAGAAGCAAGAAAGGATAACCATTAAAATAGCCAGTAATAACCAATTTATACTTTCATTTATGTAATGTATATCCCTCCTTTTGGCTTGGATCAAGCAATGCTTAAGCACACATGTGAATGGACTTGGTGCTGTTCTGCTAGCACGTGATTTTGTACAACACCCAGTGCTTTCCTCTCTCTGTATTATACTGCCCCAACATTGGCCGTTCAAGATCTTGCACAAATGGAAATGCAAGTGATGATACAATAAGCCTGACTTTGTCCAAATGGCTACTGCAGTCTTTTTCTTGTGTTTCTGCTTGTGCAAGATCTCTAGCACAAGCAGATGTTTTGTGCTGGATCCCACTCAGTGGATCCTCCATGTTCCAAGGCAGTCAACCTCTGAATCCCAGAGCCAGGAGGCAACATCAAGAGAAGGTCTCAGCCTCTATGCCCTGTTGATGGCCCTCCATAGGAACTGGTGGGCCAGGGGCCACCGTATGGTACAGGATACTGGACTATGTGGACCACTGTTCTAATCCAGCAGGGCCCTTCTTAGGTTCTTCTGCAAAGATCAACTGAGATCTCTCAAAAAGTTATAAAGGATTATTTAAAATCACCATTAACGTATTAAGCTCTTTTTAAGAAATCACACCTACACCACTGGAAAAGGGAAGAAAGTGAAATCCAAGCAGCTTTTTTAAAAAACAAAAACAACACACATCCAGATCATTCACCAAAAGAAAAATCTTTTTACCAGTCTTTGGAAGGTTAGCAGAGGGAACTTTGTGAGCTTTCTTTGCAACAAGGAAGTCCACAGTGACACTGAAAAGGCCCTGCTTGTCATAGCCACTTTCCAGTTTACGGTCTCTTAAGCAGGGCCTCATTTGATGACCAAGATGCTCAAGGTGGTGTGTATGGGGGGAAATGCTGCCTTTACTACCCTGCATTCAGATGCTGTAGGTATTTAAAGATGGCAGGCAGATTATTGCCTCTTGGATGGGTGGCTGCTGCTCTGCTGAATATTTTTAGAATGCTTGGAACCCTTCTAAGGGAAGAAAACATGATGACATTTTGCTGTATTAAAGCACCCTGCAGTGAACTCTGATACCAAACAGAATACAAATAACATTTACCAGCTCACATTTCCTCTGCAGAAACAAACGAAAGTCCCATCAGCTTAGAAACAGAAAACAAACATCAAAAATAAACAGCCTATTTCATTACACTGGAAAAGGTTAGAATCTACATGTTGGACATAAACACATCTCATCTGAGCTCAGAGATACAGGGCACATTATTGCTTCTTCGTGTTATACCAGGTTAAGTCCTTTATTCCCCCCCACCCTCCAATTTATTTCATTTTCTGAGGTCACTGACCTGATTAAAAATCTAGAACCTCCTGACCACAGGGATTACCACACGTACGACTAGCAATGGTTTAGTCATCTGGTCTTGTTCCTTCCAACCTCAGCCAGTCTATTGAATGGTAGTCAAAGTGCAATGACTCTGCGTTTTGCTTGCTTTGATCCAATTATCCGGCACAAAGCCTCTGATGTCTATTGTTTGAGGTGATAGTTGCACTCTGCTGCCTAAGCATCAGTGCCTTTGGGGTCCACAGGGTTGTGTCTAACTGTATTCCCTGTTCTTTTGACAATCAGATGCGGTGAATTACATTTATTCCCAGATCCCTGAACTCCCGACTTTCTTTTCACGAACAACGGAAGAGCCGGGTCCCGGGAAGGACGGGACAAGCAGGGTAACTGGTAAGTCTCAACGGAGCATGGTTTATTCTTTCAGCCAAGGCAGCAGACGTGATCTTTTAAAACTATATTAGATTTCCTGGGATGAGTGCCCAGCTGTCTTTTATACAGGAGGAAACAGCTCAAGTCATGACCTGGCTTCTCGCACGTAACCAGTCAGCCGGTTAAACGCATCTCTGTGTTATATCTTTCAAGACGCAAAAATTCAAGCGATAGTCACCGTGGCTAAAAGTTGAATGGGCTGTCATGTGCAAAAGATATTTCCCAGATGTAAACAGTCCAGAAGAAAACATAGACAGTTTTGTTTGCCAGGGTTTTTTTTGCGGGGCGGGCGGTTAAAAGTATGGCAAGGATAGGAATGAGTCTGTGACTAAAATTATTGTGCAAAGTTTAACGTTAACCTGATGCTGAAAGAAGTGGATGGGGATCTGCAGGTACTACCAAAAGAATCTTAATCATACTTATGTCCATTGAGATCTGGGGCTTTGGTGTACACACATTATCCCATTTGTAATGGGGATTCCATCCAAGAAGGTGTATACAACACTACTGCTGAAGACACCACTGATGGACCTGGGCTTGCTTAAATCACTCTGTATTGAATTCATTTGTTGCTGTCAATGATTTGTTACGTACCCTGAGCCTTTAGATGGTGGAGGGAAGTGCTGTCGAGTTGTGGACAACTTGCGGCGTTTTCATGTCAAGAGAAAAACAGGGTTGTTTGCCATTGCCTGCCTTTGCATAGCAAACCTGGACTTCCTTGATGGTCTTCCATCCAAGTAATAACCAGGGTTAACTTCCAAAATCTGATGAGATTGGACTAGCCTGGGTCTAGGAGAAGTCAGAGGAGCCTTTAGATAGGTCACCATATATACTGAAATATCTTTTATGTGTACGTTTTATTTATTTATTTATTTATTTATATCCTGCCATGATAAACTGGCGAATTGGTTTTGTGTAGACTCTTCTAGAGTAAGAAATCACTTCAGGGAAAAGCAGTAGAGCGCTCTTGTCATCTGTTATACACACAGTGTGGTATGAGGTTGTTCCAAACAAAAAGTGGACAATTGTAAGCATATCTTCATGACTGGCCAGCACAATAAAGAAGATATTCACATGTACTTTTCCATCTGCAGTATATTTATAAAATGGAACATCAATGTCTTAGAACTTTTGTACACCATCCCAAAGTTATGTATGCTGTCTCATGACAAAATATCCTAGTACATGTTGTAGTAAGGCTGAAAACCATTATCATTAAAAAGACAAAAGACTGGCTAGATTTATAGGGCAATAATGGGAACGTAATAATACCCACGTAGAAAGGAAACCTAGCATTAAATAATGGCACATCTGGCTTGGAGGGAAAGAAAGTATATGTTTCTGTCCTCTAGATCAATGAACTAAAACTGCTGTTTATACTATTCTTTATATGCAGTCCCAAATACAGGTTGAACTGGCAAAAGCCATTGATTCCAAATACATTCATTTATATACAAGGTTTGCATTAAACCTTGTGAGTGATCTTTGTGAAAAAAATTGAAACATGCATGTTTTTAAGTTCTTTGATGAGTCAGAATCCAAGTAGGCCCCGATTGTCATGAAACACTAAAGAGTTGGGTCGGAATTTCCCAGACCGGTTTCACCACAGCTGAGGGAATTCTGAAAGGACTGATTGGCCCAAGGTCACCCAGCAGGCTTTCTGCAGAGGAGTCGGGAATCAAACTTGGTTCCCCAGATTAGAGTCTGTGGCTCTTAACTACACCACACTGATCTTCACATTTAGGTGTTATTTTGACAATAATACCAATTATATGTGGGCTTTGAAACATAAGGAGCAGGATTTAGCAAGTGTGTAGGTGTTCCATGTGCAAGACTCTTTGGGGATTTCTTCTTCTGTCATCAAAGGAAGGCTCAAAGCAGCTGACCTTGTGTCTTGACAGCAGTATAATGACTAGGGATGGGCATGAGCCAGGAAAATGGAATTTGTTGCAGTTCATGGGAGTCTCACGAACCACGAACCTTCCCGTTTACCGAACCGGTTCATTTTGTGAGGTTCTTGATGTGGTAGAGCGCCCCCCACGAGCTAGAGACACCAACTCTCAGCAAGTCTTCGGCTGACTCTCCTCTACCTGCCCTCCAAGTTTGGTGAGGATTGGATTGGGAGGGGGGGCAGGAAAGTGCTCTCTGGGGAAATCACAGCTGCAGGGTCAGGAGTGTGTCAAACGGCCCTCCTGCAAGTTAGAGGCATCAAACTCACAGAGGACCTCCCTGGGATGCCCCTCTTCCTGCCCTCCAAGTTGTGTGCAGATAGGCTTGGGGGGTGAGTAGCAGCCCCCCAAAGCAGGTGTCCCCAAGATAGATTGCTCTCTGGGGAAATCACAGCAGCCACAGGTTCAGGATGGTGTCAAATGGACCCCCTGCAAGCTAGAGGAACAGAGGAGAATGGGAGCTCTCCAGTTGGCAGCCAGAGCTGCCTGTCAAGTTTTGGAGGGCCACTATAGGTGTTTCCAGGGCTGTAGAAGTCCATCCCCTCATTGCTTTGACAATTAATTCATCAGTGCCAGCATATCTGGCTCACGTGAAAAACATGGCAGTCCATGGGCTGTTCGTCGAAGATGTGATTGCACAAATTAAGGCCTCACAAACCGGCCATGTTCGTGATGAAATTAGGTTCATGGCGAGGTTCGGGCATATTTGGCTCACGTGAAAAACATGGCAGCTCATGGGCTGTTTGTTCGAAGATGTGATTGCACAAATCGAGGCCTCACAAACCGGCCATGTTTGTGATGAAATTAGGTTCATGGCGAGGTTCGTGCCCGTCTCTAATAATGACCCCAGGAGAGACTGACACAAGGCTGCCGTTTTGGGCAGAAATCCTTTGTTTCATATAGCCACTTATAGTGCATCCTAAGCCGCATTGATTTCAATGGACTTAGAAGGGTGTCCTTTGACCTAGGATGGCACTGTTAGTGGTCTACAGTGTGCTGACTTTTGAACACGAATCCATAACCCCTTTATGGTACCCATGACTTTAATAACTCTTCCTACTTAGTACTGATTAAATTGGCTGCTAACCTTTCAGGATACATGTGAAATGTTTTTGCTAAAGTCGGTGGGTGAAAAGAAAAAGAACAGGAGCATTTAGTATAGCTAATGAACTATCCTGAAACGAGATGCAAAATTCTTAGCCAAAAGTTTCATTTCTGCATATCATTTTGCCTTAGCAAGATCAAATCTCAGAAGGGTCTTTGAGCCAATGCTGATACCCCCTTCTTCATCTAGAACTGTTTTGCTTTGGTTTGAGGGCAGTGCAGCTGAAAATCTTACAGAATTAAGACTCAGATCCTAATTGCAGCTTCGTTTCGGCTATATATATCAGGCTAGACAGGACTATTCAGGAGGAAAACCTGAGATATTTAGGCTGCAGCTGTACAAGGACCTGTTGCATTCAGTGAGTTTCAATTATGAGTTGAACTAATTGAGCACTGGGATGTGTACTGATATATTTCTGAAGCAAGTTAAGATGCATGCTGTGGTTTTGTATTGGCAGAATCAGCAGAGTGGGGTAGTGGGAGTGTTCTCATCCCCCAACCTGGAGACTGATGGATCAAAAGCAACACTGTGTGCATTCCTCTTTCAGTGCTAGGGACAAAAAGCTGGGAATCATTTTGGTGTAGTGGTTAAGTGCGCAGACTCTAATCTGGGAGAACCGGGTTTGATTCCCCACTCCTCCACTTGCACCTGCTGATGTGACCTTGGGTCAGTCACAAGCTCTGGCACAGCTGTCCTTGAAAAAGAGCAGTTTGTGTCAGAGTTCTCTCAGCCCCACCCACCTCACAGGGTGTCTGTTGTGGGGAGGAGAAGGGAAAGGAGTTTGTCAGCCGCTCTGGGACTCCAAGTGAAGGGCGGGGTATGAATCCAATCTCTTCTCTTCTTCTTCTTCTTCTCTTCATTGTACCCTACTTATGAGCTTCCACGGAGCAACTGGCCAACCACTGTTGGGGGCAGCATGCTGGATTCCACAGACATTCATTCGTTCGTTCTGATCCAGCAAGGCACCTTGTGTATATATAAGCAAAGTGCATGTACAGACTTCAGAATGGGGGTAGGTGGGTGGGTGTATGTATGCCACACATTGTATTGCTATCTCATGTGCCTCCTAGAAAGGCAAAGAGCTGTGAGTGACCCTCCAAGAGGTTTTTCAAGCATCGCATTCTTTCCAGAGTGACCGTCATGGTTGCTTTGGGTTGCATAGGAAGAGGGAGGGATGGTAATCAGGCCTGGTAAGAAAAGAAGAAGTTTTCATCTTCATAGTGCAAACCCTTCGTTCGAGTGTCCCTTTCGGGGTGGCCACTGGTCTTTCCCCAGCTGTGCCCTGGAAATCATAGCCCAAGTTAACATTGCAAATCTGTTCTCTTTCCATATAAATGAACACAACTATGTAAGTTTTGTGCACCATTATTATGATGATATCAATTGTCTTAAATACTTTGTTCTTAAAAAATGTTTAATCTGTCGTTTTGGATGGGAGGAAAGGGTTGGTTGCAATTTGAAGAAAAGATGACCTTATGGAAGAGCAGAACATCTTTTATGCTCAGACCATACATCATGCCATGCTTTGCTTAGAACAGTATTTGAAATTTTGTACACTGTTCCTTTTTCCCCCTGCTACCCTGGGCAAGAAATTAAATTTTAAATATTCAAACTCCTTCCTCTCTTTCAAACTTTTCCCACTCTGTGTGTCTACAATTAGTTCTTTTGTCTTTATCAAGGTTCTCATGCTCTAAATATCACCCAAGGACTCCGCTTTAATGGCAGTGTTCCTAAATGGGGGGTTGGGTTGAGAATGTCAACAGATCACAATGGGCAGTGATTGGATGGGTTACCATTACCAATTGTCATTTGAGGATCCAGGGCTGTGGGAGAAGGCAAAAATGGGGCTCAGGAGGACTGGCATAACCAATTCTAAGCAAGAGGAAGCAGATTTTCAGGAGAAGCACAGGCTGTTCTTGTTTGCTTCCTAGGATCAGGGGAAGAAATGCCAACGTTGCTTGGACGGATCATGAAAAATGCACTATGGAGCTTATAAATACTCAGAATTTAAAAGTTGAGAAGTGCTGCATGTTAAGAGTAGTTGAAAATGCCAGCTATATGGCCACACCTCTTAACCCAATAACAAGACCTCCCATGGGATTCCTAAACACCTTCTGGGAAATATACAAGCTTCCCCTTACATAAGAACATAAGAACATAAGAATCCAGCTCCTTACTGGTCAGGAGCTAGATTAAGCATAATTGATTATATCCTGGTTTCAGGGAATTTAATACAATGCATCGGATCTTTTGAGGTTGCTACATACTATGGTAGAGATCATATCCCACTTACGATCAGGGCTATTTTGGGGCAGGAACGCACAGGAACGGAGTTCCGGCTGGCTCCTGAGTTGGCCACACCCAGCAGGAACTCATTAGCATAATAGGCCACACCCAACATCAGAAACTCATTAGGATTGGCTACATTAGGGGTGTGTGGCCTAACATGCAAAGGAGTTCCTGCTACAAAAGAAGCCCTGGCTTTTGACAATAAACAAGGTAAACAGAATAAGAAGGGAAAGGTGGGCGTGGCTGGATGAGCACACTTCTGGTAACATGGGGGTGTGGCCTAATATGCCAATGAGCTGTGGTGTCAGGGGTGTGGCCTAATATGCTAATGAGTTTCTGCTGTTGGGTGTGGCCTGTTATGCTAATGAGCTCCTGCTGGGCTTTTTCTACAAAAAAAGCCCTGCTTACGATGATTATATCAACCCCCAACTGTAATCTGCGACTCGAAGATCATTATAAAGGAGAAACTGAATATGGGGAAAGGCATGTTAGGATAAGATGGGATGATAAAATTGAAAAAGTTATGCAAGAACTTCTTAGTCAGGAAAACACTACTAGCAGAGCAAGAAATGTTATGTATTTAGGTGATGGACAATGTTCCCTCTAAGCTGTGGAATCTTGTGAGCAAAAATGCTACTTTGTGAGCTGCTGGCATTAAAGTTGTGAGCGAGCGATTGGGCTGCTGCATAAATTAGTTTGTTCTGGAGTCCTTCTTCCTGAGCTAAGACAAAAATGTGTGAGCCGGAGGCCAAAAAATAGTGAGCTAGCTCACACTAACTCAGCTTAGAGGGAACACTGGTGAAATGACTTCATTTGTTTTTCAGAATTCTGCAGTTTTATCTACTTTACTCATTCCCCCCCCCATTTATTTAGTCAAGGGGGGAGGGACAAGAAAACAGTACAAGTCAGTGCAGTGGGTAACTTACAGTGCCATCCTCAGGAGAGTTATGCCCATTTTGATGAATGGGCTTAGCAGAATGCTGTTAGGAAGGTGCTGTTATTGAACGGCTCCTCTGACTTCTGAGATCTGTCCAGGTTTTTAGCAATAGTTGAGGGTTTTTCCTCCCAAGAAGATGAATTCCATAACCTGTACCCCATTTGCCCAGGCCAGTGGGTAACTTACAATGCCATCCTCAGGAGAGTTATGCCCATTTTGATGAATGGGCTTAGCAGAACGCTGTTAGGAAGGTGCTGTTATTGACTTCTGAGATCTGTCCAGGCAGAATACTGCATTTTTAGCAATAGTTGAGCGTTTTCCCCCCCGAGAAGATGAATTCCATAACCTGTACCCCATTCTGCGGCTGTTCTGTACTCTTGCAGTATCACAGTATAAACTCAACCCTGTTATACAGGTGGGTGTACACCTCATCCATGATCACCAAATGTTTTCTTATAATGGCTGTGTGCATGGTGGGTGTATCCTCTTAAGATCACATAGATAGCCCTGATGAATTGGGAGTTTTCATGCCAGCAGAACTGCTTTCATGAACATTTGGCACATGTATGCTGAGTGTTACATTCCCAGTGTCTTTTTAAAAATATTTTTATTAAACTTTCATACAACAACAACATTTTCAGCGTAACAAAGCAGTCTAAACAATATACATCAGAACAGTTCAATATACGGTTCGAGAATGAGTCCCCAGGCATAAACAGCCCAGAATATATAAAACTTTACAAGACAATAGTAATATAGATTGAGGACCAAGTATAAAGACTATCCAGATTAAATGAAATTCAATATGAGCGTTCCCATATAATTAATTACGTTGTAGTAGTGAGAAGGAATCTGAGATCTCACAATTGAACCATGTCTGAATGATGCCTTGAGAAAAGGAAACCATTTGTATTAGCGTGATCTCGGGAGCTGTCAAATGTATCGATGCTGTCTGCGATTTTGTCCATTGCGAACATCTCCCACACTTTGGCATACCGAAGGTTCAGTACAGGTGGGCTAGTGTCTTGAGAGGGCGGACGTGGGCAACATGTGCACTGACTCTCCAGCTTTGAATTACTTTGCCCTTGAAGCAACTGTAGAAATATGGGGGTAGTCCTGCTGTCATCTCTGCCATTTAACAGACTGTTTGAGTTTATGTTCAATAATAATCAGGGGTCATTTAGTAGAAAAAGAGGTGCAGGAGCTCATTAGCATAACTCATTAGCGTATGCCACACACCCTGACATCACCGGACGTGTGGCAGAAGGCAACACCCACCACTCACGCTCCACTGGTCTGTTTTGGATTGCTAGCTATTGGGGGGGGGGGGGAATGTGCAGATCTTCCCTCCCAGAGGAGGGAGAGCTTGTACCTGAATAAAACTTGCTCTTAAAGGTGCCACTGGACTGTTTTGGACCAGGGGGCCGGACAGGGGGGGAGCTCTGCAACTTACCTGGCTGCTTCTTGCTCTGACTGAGGGCTGCTGGGAGCAGGGGGCGGGGCTTGATTCATTTGCCCACCCCTTGGGCTCTTTACTGCCGGAGCTCCGCTCCTGTGCGCTTCTGCAGGAAATGACCCCTGATAATAATATGGGAAGCTGTCCATTCCAGGCCTGAAAGGTACGGTTAGCACCAGTTGCATCGGCTGCTGCAGGATAACAACTGCTTCTCTTTCACAGTATGCACCGCTCTGCTAACATCAAATGCTTGGCACTTTAGGAAGAGATGCATGGGGGGGGCAGGGCACAGTAGTCTGCTTGCCTGTGTGGCTATTAACCATTCACGTGCTTTTTGTTGTTATAACATGCACTTCCTCTCTTGTTTCCATTCAAGCATTGTACGGCATGGAAATTAATGTGGAGAAAGACAGACAGACAGGAGAGACCAAGATTCTCTCTACGTCCCCCATCGGCCCAGAAGGAGCCCATCAAAGAGGAATCAAAGTCTATGACGATGGTACCAAAGTAGTCTATGAGATGCACCCTGGAGGTGCAGTGATAGAAAATGGAGTGCATAAGTTGAGCTCAAAGGACGTAGATGAACTTATTCAGAAAGCTGGACAATCAGGCCTAAGAGGAGGGACTGTTTCAGAGAGGAACACAATAGCTGATGGAAACCTCAGCCATATGAAGGAGCAGATACTCTTCAAGGAGGCAAAACTGGAGATGGTGCACAAATCTAGCAAAAGACATTCCGGGAATCCTCGACACCAAGCGAAGCTCTCTGCGGACGAAGTCCCAGAAGCCAGTACAGATCACCCTGTCACGATGATATTTATGGGTTACCAAAACATCGAAGATGAAGAGGAGACCAAAAAGGTGCTGGGCTACGATGAGACAATCAAGGCCGAACTGGTCCTCATTGACGAAGACGATGAGAAGTCCTTGCGTGAGAAGACAGTGACGGATGTGTCGACCATGGATGGAAACGCCGCCGAGTTAGTTTCTGGCAGACCCACCTCGGACACAACAGAACCCTCCTCGCCAGAGGGGAAAGAAGAGAGTCTACCGATGGAAAAACTCCCAGGTACAGAAAAGAAAAAGCGCTGTCAATGCTGTATTGTCATGTGACCACTTCTTCCTTTCTTCCTCTCCTTCCGAGCAGCACGTGCTCCATCACTCCCTTAGACCTCACTGTATTTTTCTAACTGCAGTACTGTGAACTGGAAGGGACTGCCTCCAATGCCTTGCAGTTGGGTTGCTCTGATTTTTTTTTCCTCTAGCTCTTCGAGGGAGATTGAGTTGTGAAAATAATGATTGCTCACCCAATGCACTGTTTTAGAATTATTTTTCAATGGTGAGACATAAGCAGAAAGTGAACAAAAACACTTTCATATTTGAAACAGATCTATATCTATCTATAAATATATAATATATGAATATGCATAGGTGGCTGTATGTAAATGTGCATATTTATGTATTAAATATATTTATAAAAGTTATAAATGTATATGAAGAATTTTACTTTATATATCTAGCAGGTACGATCAGCCTCCCAGGATTTTTTGCAGGACTCTGAGTTTCACATCTATGTGAGCCTTAAACTGCGTTTTAATGAATTTTTTAAATAGTTTTGTGTTGCTTTTTTTTTACTGGAGCAAAGGGAGAGGGCCTTTGGTCATGCTGTTGTTTTGCCATCGTAACATTCAGGCCCCTTCCTTTCCAAAATGACTTTACATCTTGGAAGTCTGGAAGCTGTTTGACAAGACTCGCTCACGCGTAGGCTCCAATAAATTGCTGGGGTTTGTGAAGGGATCTTTGCTGAGCAGATGGCATTCAGTGGGCTCAATCCACCAAGCGCTGCTGCTTTGCAAATGCCGGTCAGTCTGTCTGGCTTTGCAAGGGACTTCTGCAGAAGCTCTGTTGAGTGGATTGAACTTTTCACGGCACAAGTGTTTGGCTAATGGATGGTATAGAATCCCCTTTGGGTAACACACTTGGCTTCAGTGGGACTTGTGCATGCAACTGTGGGCTGAATTGCAGCCTTGGAGTTGAAGCTGTCACATCAAAATCTCAACATTGGTCATCACTACTGATCAATGTGTAATCCAAGATGAATTCCGATTGCGAGTGAGAAAAAACGTTTGGCCTTTTCCAAATCTTTCAGTTTACAGTACTGTGAATCTGCTGCATCTCCTTACATTCAAACTTAACTAAGCATGCGGTGAAAAAGGTCCAGCAGTAGCCACAACTAAAACATAGATACTGAGTTTTAATTCCGTGGCTTTCAGTAACAGTGTCTACATGGGTTTGTGGGCTGGCTGCTGTACCCTGCTTTGATTGGTTTGTGGACTGATGCTGTACCCTGAGAGATTGGTGGTTTACTTAAATGTACTCATAATATATTTCAAATAGTTCCTGGGAAAACTATTTGAAACAGCCTCTGGTTTTTCAAGGTGGAAAGGACCCATTTCTCAATATGTACCCGTAATCAGGTAAACTTAGCCTATAGAGTATCATTTTCACCTTTGACCTGGGGAGTGGGAGGAGCAAAATCTGAATGGAAGTGGAAAGTGCCATCCAGTCACAACTGACTTACGGCAACCCTGTAGAGTCTTCAAGGCAAGTGACGTTCAGAGGTGGTTTGCCATTACCTGCCTCTGCAGAGACTGAAATCTGACATCTTTAACTGAAGCAGGCTCTGCTAGTAGGTTTGCCAGGTCCACTTACTTGGCTGGCGGGGGGGGGGGCTCCCAGTGCACTTCCAGGAGATGCCCGGTAAAATCAGAAGTTCCGGTCCCAACGCAGTGACATCACCCCGAAGTGATGTCATCACATTGGGGATGTCAGGGGCAATGCTCTGGTTTTTGGGCAAAACTCTATGATAAATCTGGCTTCAAAACATAGAGTTTTGCCCAAAAAAACCAGAGTGCCACCCCTAGGCTTGCCAAGTCCCCCCAGGGGGCAGGGAAACCCTCGCCCCAGAGGCCCCTTACCTGCCACCGGCTGATCGGGCCCCGGGGGAAACCCCACCCCCAAAGCATGCGACGTGTACGTCGCCTGGAGGTGACGCGGGCACGTCGGGCGCGTTGGGGGTGGGGCCACGGTCATCCGAGGGAAAACTCTATGGTTTCCCCTCAGATGGTTGTGGCCCCGCCCCTAGCGTGCCCGGCGTGGTCGCGTCACTTCCGGGTGATGTGGTTGCGGCGCATGCACGTGCACTCCCAGAGCGGCACTGGAGTCCCCCACTTCAGACTTGGCAACCCTAGCCACCCCCCATAGCCCCAACATGATGATGTCACTTCCTGATGATGTCACCATGTTGGGGCCTTCACTTCCAGTTTTACTGGAAGTTACCAGGAAGGTCAGGTGGGGGCCGGATTTCCCTCACCGGCCAGCTGGTGGGCAAGAGCTTGCAAAAGTGGGGGTTCCCCTGCTCCTACTGGGGGACTAGGAACCCTCTCTGCTAGTGTGGGTGTACAGCCTTGCATGATTCAGAGAGCTCTTGAGGTAGAAATAAGAAACCCACTTACCTAATTGAGACATTGCACCCTTGGAACAGCTTGCAAGAGCCTACTGGTTAAAATATTGGTAACCGTGTACTAACATCAAGCAATTCAGAACCTATCTAGGTTCACTAACTCACATTCCTTCTGAATTGTCTTCCTTGTTTTCCTGAAAGGCTCAGCAAAACAACCCTTAGCTTTCTCATTTCCGCATCAAAGAACGCTCTGTGAAATGTAAAAGAGGTCTCAGAGTAAAAGAAAAGTCCTCTTCCTACTTTTTTAAAATCTAGATGGACATATTCAGAGACTATTTTCCTGCTGGCATTGCTCCTGAGAGGAGCACAGAAATGGGCCTCAGGAACAGATGAGCTCCGTCCCTTGCTGCCATCACTGCAGAGAAGTAAAGAACAAATAGAAGATTCCTTAATTCTTTGACGGCGGGACCTCTTTTGATCCTGTGTGAGATTAATATGCTCTGACCCTAAACAGGGTTTCTTTTCCTAGTCAGGGGATATCCCAGAAGAGTAGTGAGGAAATGTGTGGTGTGTGAGTGTGTGTGAGAGTGTGTATGTGTGTGTGTGAGAGAGAGAGAGAGAGCCTCAGGCCCTCTCACAGTCTCTCCCCAGGGACAAACAACATCTGAACAGGCCCATTATTTCAAAGAAGCATTTCCTGATAAATGTACCCATGGCAGATTCACACATGAGCTGATGTCATAGCCTTTTCAGTCTGTAATCCTGCAGAACTCCCACATGAAGCCCGCTGGGGTTAAAGCTTTCGTAAGAATTTTGATAGAAAACCTTTGCTCATTTTTTAAGGCATCGCAGCCTTCTGTTGAAATCTGAAGTGGAAGGAAGGATGGGTGGATCTCCTGGAGCTGGAGGCTGTTATTAGATTCTTATCATGACTACAGTGAGCCTGTTTATAAACTGTATCCCACTGGCATTTTGTCCCATTATCCAGTGGAGATACTCCCAATACTAATATATGTGATATTTCAATTAGAAACTGTATTTTCTGGTGGCATTATAATAACTTCAGCCAAGGAGGAATTTCATACCTTGGAATAAATCTAAGAGAAGACCGTAAACTCAACAACAGCCTCTTCCAGAGGTTGAGGTTATTTTTCACCATGTACCTGTTCTCTCTTGGATGGTGCTTTTACTGTATTAACTGTTAGCTTTAAACTTTGTGTGGAACAACGTTTTTGCTCTGAACTCTTTTCTTTCTGTGCCATTAGGAACGATGCCTGGGCATGGTAGCTTTTCATGTCAAAAACACCAGAATGGAAGCAGTGAGATTGATGAGACATTCTGGTCTTCAAAACACATTTCCTTGGCAGTATGTTGCGCTTGGTTTCTGTTTGAGCTTATTTCCACAGAAGTGTGCATAGGATCATAGCCTTCTAAAGGTGGATTGGATCATCATAGGAGAGATTCTGTTCTCCAACCAAACCAAGACTCCATAGCCAAATGATAAACACAATGTATCATAGAGAAATCAAAGAAACCGATCCCAATAAACTTATAGTGACACAGATGGACAGTGCTGTTCTAATCAGCTCCATCCTCCTAAGTCCATGAAAACTGGAAAACTTAATGTGAGTGTAATATAAAAGCAAAAACTTCATTGGCCACGTGAAATTATTTAGAATGCTAAACTTAAGGATGATTTCAATATTTTGCTCAGTCCTATTAAATGGGCAGCATAATTTCTGCATCTCTAACAGATTCACAACCACTCTGTAAAGCTGGTATCTGGTTGGTAGCTGTGTCCACCTGTCGTAATAGGGGGGGAAATTGAGTTCAGTAGTACCTTAGAGACCAGCAAAATTTACCAGGCTGTAAACTTGAGCTGTGGTGGCTCAAGTGGTTAAGACACGGAACTGCAGGCTGTGGAGGGTCAGTAGTTCAGCAGTTCAAGACCCGAGTGCCGCATGCCGGAGTGAGCTCCCATCTCTAATTCCAGCTCCTGCCCAACCTAGCAGTTCGAAAGCAAGAAATTGCAAGTAGATAAATAGGTACCACTTCGGTGGGAAGGTAACAGCGTTCCGTGCTCCTTGGTGTTTAGTCATGCCGGCCACATGACCACGGAAACGTCTCTGGACAGCGCTGGCTCTTCGGCTTTGAAACGGAGATGAGCACCGCAACCCTAGAGTTGGATTCGACTGGCTTTCAAGCAAGGGAACCTTTACCTTTACTAAACTTTCAGGAGTCAAAACTCACTTTGTCAAATACGAAGCTGTGAAGCGGGCCATATTGTGTGTCTCTGAATGAGCTGCTCTTGAACCTATGTCTCTTAGACTGATTAAGGAAATGCCACCAGTTAGCATTTTGATTGAGGCTTCATATCCCTTTGAAATTTAGTAAAATTGCCGAGCCTGGTGGAGCCTCGAGACCTCCCAAAATTACAACCAATCTCCAGATGATAGAGACCAGGTCCCCTGGAGAAAATGGTTGATTTGGAGAGTAGACTTTATGGCATTGTGCCCCGCTGAGTTCTCACCCCTCCCCAGGCTCCACCCCTAGAATCTCCAACACAGAGCTGGCAACCCTAATTGAGGTTGTACAGCAAAATTTAATTTGTTATTCAGTCGCACCGTCGAGTCCGACTCTTCGCGACCCC